AACTTAATCTATCACAAAGTTATTCTTGTTTAATTCGCCTTGAAAAATTTGTTCCGACTCTCAAAGCTAAATTCGTCATAGTCATTAGTCATGCAATGCGATGAATGGAAGAGGTCCTTTTATTGGACAAATAGTCAAGAATAAAAAACTGTTTAAGCGAATAGCATTCCTTGTAAGAATAAAACATCGAGGCTATTTTAAATGTAGCTTTTAATTCACTATTATCTCACAAACTTGTTTTATCGAGATTCATTTTACTCGTGTTTTAAACAGTAATAAGGCAGGAGTGACTTGGCTAACAGTGTAAGCTACCATTCTGATTTTCATTGCCTTTTTAAATCTAACGTTTTTCTCTGCTTTCGTATATTGACTGCAGATTTCAAGACCCGCAAGTTTACTAGAAAGGTGAGCGACTGTTTTACAAATGGCTTAAATACTGTCTCACTGTCAGAGACGCATTTTTTGTAGCCATAAATGTTCGACGGCAATAAAACTTTTATTTTGAAAATAGAAAGGTAATCACAGATAAAGCGCTGTTTGCTGAAGCAATTTTAGACACTCGTCTCGTGTAATATCGTGCGATACCACACTGTGGAACTTTTTTAATCGCCGGTTCTCCTCTTTTTCTGTTGATATAAGTAACTGACTGAATTTGGAATTGTTCGTTTCTTATTATTGAATTCACGTGCGATCACGTTTATTGCCATCACTAATAGAGAGCAGATTTTGCGGGAAACTTTCACTTCACTCGGCTAATGTACTAAAAATTTATGTTCAAATTTCTTCATGCTGTAAATTGAATCGGCATTTATTGATGTCAGTGGTGGATTTATTTCAATCTTTTTCAGGAGAAAACGAGTCGCTGAACCAAAACATAAAAAATACCGAGTTTACAAACTTATAATAAGGAAAACGTACAGATTAGGTTTATTTCAAGCTTTGTCGTTTTCACTCGTTGAAAAATTCGTCTAGTGTGGCTACATGGAGGTTGTAGATGTTTGATTATGACTTCAACATAGTTTTCGAGATTATTTTCCTTTACTGACTGCTAAAATTATTGTTTTTGGTTCATGATGATTTGAGAATATCGATAGCATTTAGTCATTATGTGCGGAAGAAAACTCATAGTTGACAAATGTCATCTGTTTTTATAACTCTGGATGTTGATTGTTCATTGAAGTTAAAAATTCGAGTGGTACATCGTTGATTCCTTGCTATGTTTGCATAATGTTGCAAAAGTCCGTTATGTTTTGTGTCGATAGAAAAACGCGCAAATTTTCTAAAATAAGGAAAGAGAATTATACATCAAAGTTATCAACTTACGTAGGTAACACGTCAGTATTTGTTAACTAACGAATGGAAGACACCATTTTATTGGACACTGATGGTCACATAAACGAACTGTTCAGGCCAATTATATTCCTCGTAGGAAAATTGATACTAAATATAGTTGTCATCTCATAATTATTCCCAAACTTGTTTTATCACATCGAGAATTATTTTAGTCGAGGCAAAACGACGTTAACACAAGCTGGAGCGACTCGGCTATCACCGTAAGCTTAGTAGGTTGTATTTTTCTCAGCTTTTTCTTTGTATTTTAATATTAAGGCCCTTAGCATTCCTTTCTCCTCTTTCGCGTCAAGCAAACTCGATTGCAACTTTCGGCGAGAAACCCAAGCCTACAAATACGGTGTGTGATTTTACCCCAGTTAAAGAGTCAGTTAACGCCAGTTCACAGCACATTTTTCTTTCACATAGACTGCCTTGATAGAGCACATTTTTGACAAACTTGGAACGTCCAATGTTCTTTGATAAACTGTAAACTTTTCGGACAATTAATCACGTACATGTGCGGAGTCTTTTCTATAACGCAGGGTGCTAATATTATCAGTGACAAATGACCAACCTTTCAAACGCCCTTTTTTGGCAAACATAATCGTCTGTGTTGACAAGCATCGTACTGACAAGAGTTATTTATGCAAGCCCTCAGAAGTAGAAGAAAGCAATTAGACATTAAGTGCGAGGATACCAAAGGTTTCAAAGGCAAAGTCAATTAGAAAAAGTATAACAATTTAAGCTATAAAAAATCAACAAGCATGATTCATGATTTGGACGTGGACAGAATATGGATAAAAGATTAACTTAAGTAATTATAAAAAAATGGATCGCTACAAAACTACATTTCGTCTCCTTGCAATTACTGAATATTTATTCGTTTCAAATCACGAGAATATATATTGACAGCTATTTCAGTTTATGCTCCGCTTTGATATTATCGTATACTTTCATATTTTTAGTCTAATAAATCACGCATGAAGGATTTTATTTCCCGATATTTTACGGCACACATTTGCTTACGGATGTGATTTTTCACCCTCGCAGGTCAGTATTCGACATCAATTCTACCTTTATTTCATCCAACTTGCATGTTCAGGGTCGAGCGAACAATATATAGAAATCCAGTGTTGTATGAAAAAGAAAAGAAGATATAAACCAGTCAGAGAAAATCAGCTCTCGAACAATTATAACCAGATCGTCAGTAGCAAATTTACGACCGTTAAACTATCGAAGGCAAAACAGATACTTATATTACGATGGTTCGCTTTTTCTCGTCGACCATTTAGAACTAAAAGTTTCAGAGACGACTTTATTAAAACACGTCGAAACCTACACCATGGAAATTGTTAAGTTGGAAAAAAAATTCCCTGACTACGACTTACGCGAGCTTCGATTGGAAGGATGATATTATCGACATTACCGTTTTACAAAATACTTCGAGGTCATATTTTCAAAAACTCAGCACAATCCTGACTGTGGCATGAAACATGATATTTGTTTGCTGCAATGTAACAGGAAATTAAAATAGTTTATTCTTACTAGATGAAGACAAAACAAATGTCATCAGCATTATCAGTGATGTAATGTACTATTGAAACAGCTCGACTCATGGTCAACAGTAAACTGGTCCGAACACGAACCAAAGTCAACACAAAGGCTGAAAACTCTGCTGCACACGTAACTTACTTATCATTCCTTTACAGCGAGTTCTTCAACTGGTGCTTGAAACAGAAAAGCAGTCCTTTAAGCTTACAGGTATATCGTCGTTTCCTCAGATCTTCTTGCTGTAATACCTTATGTAACTATAATTTTCTCAATACATGAATCAATCTATTGCCATGCAGTCAAAAATTTAACCCCGACGCCTCAATTCAAAAAATCGTTCGCTACAATCAATGAATTATCACTTGGATAGAAGCATTGATTCCAAACTACGAAAACAATGTTGAAATCAGTCCAAATCAAAGCAGAAATTACTCAACCTTCAAGTTTAATGGCGGTTGACTTGTCCCTCGCCATCAGCATTACGTATACTACCTTTGATACAATTTCTTTTAACCTCAGCTTTGTAAACGTTTTTCCATAGAAAGCTCGTGAAGAATTAAGAAATGGCCTTCAGTTCACACAAAGTCTCTGTGATGTCCTTGTTGTCGCTGTTTGCGATGTTTTTGTTGTTTTACTGTACCACAGCCAATAACAAAACCAATCAACCGTCGTACAAAATGGTAAGTTATTTTTGACGAAAGTGAAACAATATTTCCTTGCAATATTGATTTTGATTCAATGATACATTTCTTGCCGACATATGAAAAATCTAAGATCCTCAGCAACAAATGCTTGACCTAGCATATCCACATCGCATTGTGACATTCTTGTAAGCTTTCCGATAGAGAGCTATTGCAAAATTGATCTTAAGTACCGTAGCCAGAAAAAAAATACGACTGAGGCAATTTCCATGGTTAAATTTTCTTCCAAGGTATTTAGGGTGTTTATGTTTACTAAAAACGACAAAAACCCAAAAAATGTCCGGTGCAAGTGCCTTGGTTTGTTTGTTACTTGCTTCGGCCTTGATCTCCGTGATCAAATTGTTTTTGTTTGAAATTAAATCATTCTTCTTGACTGGAGCTGGGTTAGGGCACTTTGCAACAAGCACAGAATAAATAAGACACTGTAACGGGAGTAAATCATGCATTTTACAAGGAGTGGTATATAAAGGCCTGATTATCCCAATGGGAACTAATACAAAGCAACCTAATTAAACACCTAAAAGAAATACATGTTACTTCATGTCAAAACCTTCAAGGAGCTGACCTAGAATTGTGCATATTTCTTACTGAACGCCATATTTCCTTATTCGGAGACCTGTAGCGAAGAAGGAACAGTCACGAAAAAGCTATCATGTAAATAAAGAACGTTGGATCGAATCGTTAGTCTTATTACAATGATTTTCTAAAAATCTTCTTTATCTGAGAAGCAACAATTTGCTTTTAAAATTTATCTGGTTTCCTAAGGTATTTGCGAACGCAGCGAGGTAAATAAAATATACAGCAAAATTACGCCTCTACTTCTGAGCGTACGACTCTTTCTTGAAAGAGAAGCCGTGAATAGCCATCTCATTTTCATGCCTAAGATGGTCAAATGCATATTTGCGTTTTCAAGGTTCTTTTTGCGGAAAAGCTCTAATGATTATTTCTTGAAACCTTTATGACAATGTGAATCGCATTGTGAAATTTAGTGGAAATTCACAAATATCTCATGATCAATTCTCTGACCCTGACGGCTCAGCTTTTTAAAACTGTAGTTATTGACACAGCGTGAAATACTGAAAGATAAAAGGAGAGTTGGTCGGTCGATTAAAACGATAAAATAAGATAACAGCACACAAAAGAGATCTCGACAAACTAGCACTTGTCCAAATTTTGGCTTACGCGCATGCCCGGAATTGAAATTTTGCTCAATTTTGTACCTAATTCTCGAAAAATCTCTCCTTTTAGTTAAAAAAAAGCCTTCTTAGCAAAACTTACGCTTATTTAGCGTCATGGCAGCTAAAAAAACCCGACAAAACGGTTAAAAACGGTATTATTTTTGGCGAAAGTTTGGTATTCAAAGGGTTAAATGGTCGAAAAAAAAGTAAGAAAAAGAAAATCTCTTCCTCTCCACAGGGATTATCTCTTGACAAAGATGTCATTCATTCAACTTATCCTTGTTGTTGTGTTTCTGCTGCCGGGCTCTGAGCAACAACAAAGCCCTGGAGAACCGGTAAGTTTATGTAGGCGTACCTACCCCCGCGACGAAAAACACTTTTCCTGGAGGTGGGGGGAGGCAAGGCTACAAGTAGGATAGTGAATTTCAAGATCATGTTCCAGAAAAAAATAACTACTTTAATTCACCGTAAAATTTGCTTACTGATCTTTTTAGCCTTTTTTAACTTTAGAGGCCTTCCGTAAAACCGCCAGATGGACACTGTAAAGATTGCAACAGCTGTTGCTGTGCACCCGGAATCCCAGGTATCCCTGGAATTCAAGGATCCGCCGGACCGGCGGGTGCTGCTGGATCACCCGGCATTCAGGGGCCCCAAGGGCCTTCGGGTCCTGCGGGCCCGCCAGGGAGCAAGGGTGATTCAGGCAATGTGGGAGTTCCAGGCCCTCCCGGCCCTCGAGGACATCCAGGGCCCTACGGTCGTAACTGGAAGCAGTGCGTGTTTACCAATCTCAATAATGGCATCGATACTGGACTCATCAAGGTAAATATCGAAATTTCGGTTTGATGTTGTATTGGAATACGTTTTATTTGTAATGTTTCTCGCATACATGTACTTTGTAGCCTTCTGATATCGTAAGAGACCAGGTTCTCTTGTGGTGTTTTTCAAATTCTCTCTGGTGTCAGAGGACTAGAAAGTAAAATAACGTTTACGGGGCTGTATAATGTAAGTCGAATTGTAGCCTCGCTGAGTGGACGAGTCGAAACGATGATACGCCACATCGAAACGATGAAATACCATAACGAAACGACGAAACGGCAAAACGATAAACGACGGCAAACCGATGTGGTCAGTGATGGGTCGAACTCGTGATGATCTGATGAGTCAAACTCGAATACGACTAGTCACTTCATGCTACAGAAACCAGAGATAAGCGCCGCTCTGATGCGCCATTCGCCACGAACGCGTATGGTGCTGAATTTATAACATGTTTTTATGATCTATATTTTCAGGAATGTATTTTCAATAAGATATCAGACCGTACAGGGTTGCGTATTTTCTGGAATGGTCCTCTTCGCATCTATAACTGCCATGCATGCTGCAGACGATGGTATTTCAAATTCAATGGTGCCGAGTGCTCTGCCCCCGCGGCGATTGATGGAGTGGTTTACATGGTACACGGAAACGGCGCCAAGAAAGATTTACACCGCGTGCGGCAAATCGAAGGCGTGTGCGAGAAAGTACCCAAAGGTGTCGTGCGCGTGGAATTGTGGGTCGGTGACTGTGCTGGCTACGGATCCGCTGATGCATACACAGGCTGGAACTCAGTGTCCCGGATTTACGTGGAAGAAGTACCACCTCCACAGGCTTAACAGCATTCGTTGTGAAACGCGGGCGAGAAAACATTTGAATCTTATTACAGCTTTTAATTGCAACTAAACTTATTACAATTCTTAACACTGAACTGCTACTGAAACAGAAATTGTAAACTCAACGGTATAATGGAGGCCAGTGTTTAATCCAATTAATCGAGGTAAAAATATTAGTTTGAGTAATATATCGCCACGGACATATAAAAGCAAAAAGAAGCTGTATATTAAATTTGTTTGTGAAGTTTCGTTTGGCTACGTTTCAAACTTTATAACGCCGAGGAAATTTTCTGCACTGATTAATAAAGGGTTACATGTAAATCTTATGCTGGTCAGTAAAGAACATTTGAAAGTTGATTCAAGGTGAACATGAGCAAAATCGGTGTGGCAAGTGGGACTGAGCCAGAGGCCTAATTCCCTGAATGAGTTACGCCCTCCAGTGACTACCTCGACCTCTCCCTTGACGCAATCATGCCATGCCGATCATTCAGAGACGTTTATGCTGGTTGTAATTAGCTATTAGTCGTCATTTCTCTGGCCTTCAAGATTGCAGACTATGAAAAATGTGTCGTTTTGCTTTTTCCAATACTAATATAAAAGCACTTAACAAAACTGATTCACGTGCAAACTAGACAGAAAATCAATGCGAAGCTCGGAAGATCACTTTTTCCCTCCTTTTTACCGACACATTTATCGACAGTTTTGCCCCAAATCGGTCCCAATTAGCTCTTCAGAGGTCGAACATTTCTATTTATTGGAAAGTAAAGTCAATTTCTAAAGCCCAACCAAGGCGCCCTCGAGGCACTGACCACAGTTGACATGATACATGTATAAAACCTAACACTTACTGATAGACGCCGACGGCGGGATTTCTCAGAAAAAAAAAATTCAGCTCTCGGTGAAACTTCACGATAACAGTAGAGTATAGTGCATTGTGAGGAAATTGCATTGGTTAACATTGATATAATGTAATGAGATATTTGCATTGAGCTCTTTACATTATCCGTATGATTATGTTGATCATATGTTGTATGTTGACTCACACAGTTGTCCTTTAATAAAAAAAAACTTTCTTCAGATTCTATTTTCAGCTTCGACGAACAAACGCAGAGTGTCATTTAAAAATGAAATACTCGCCAAAATATTGACTTATTGAACGTCAAGCGAGGATGTACTTGACATACTTAAACTCTAATTAAATGTGAGTAAAGATTCCCCTCTCAAGCGTTTCTCTCGCTTCTAAGACTTCCTGATAAGTATAAAAGTCTATATAACCAATAGTCTCCATTTGGCACTAAAATATGCTCGGATATTTGTCCGCGGACATTATCTGTTCCGAAAAGTTCACAGTTTTCCGAGTGCGTAGCTCGAGGAAAACATTTCCAAATATTTTTCGCAACACGCGAGGACTGAACATTTTCAAATATTTTTCGCAACACGCGAGGTTTTAAAAATTGGAGAATATCACTCGGATATTCCCCAGTTTTAGCTGGGGATATTCAGCCACGTAACGCGTTTAACCCTGTGAATCGCGCGCGAGCGAAAATATTTGATGGATTATGGACGATAGCATTATATGTAACGCTTCATTCGACGTCGTTTAGCTGGCTGCTTATGTACTGCGTGCAGCAGTGATTAAAAAGCTCTGAAGAAGGTGCAGGATTGGTAAAATTATACGTGGAGATAAGTTTTTTTTTTTCAATCGGAGAATTTCCAAATTTATCGTGTTGTTTTGTTGCAGAACTATAATCACAACCCAAAACCGATTTAAATTGTAGGAGGAAGGTTTGCTTTTATTTGGTCTCCAAAATATCGTTCAAGTTGCGATTACAAATGCTTATAAAAGTCATATCAGCTAATCATTATTAAGTGGTCAAAACTGAGTAATTAGAGAATATGAAAAACGGCTATTAATAGTATAAACAAAGTTTATTCGTCAATGCACGTTGTTCTCCATTTGGACATTTCCGACGTTTAAAAAGCACCCAAAACCAAAACTCTCCTCGATAATTGAATGGAGAGAAGAACTATGAACATAAGCAATTTTGGCAGAAATGTCAGTAATGAACTATTGAAAACAATGGGTTATTTAGTCAATAACGAACTGGAAACAACAAGATCTTAGAGTGCGTAGTAGTTATACAGTAAAACCAATATGAAGGAAAAAGTTCCTCGCTTGCATTTCGATGCCCCCGGCCCATATATATCAATTTACAAAAGCTATTGCTTCCCTTAAGTGCGTTTTCTTTGGTCGTTAAATGCCAACTTGCCGAGTGGGTGTAAAAAAAAATAAACAATTCATATATAAACACGTTTTGCCATGGTCTCGCATACAACACGTTTTGAAGTTCTTCGCATTCTCTCGTGTAGTGAATTTTGTTGTTGATACCGGGTCAACCAACCAATTCTCAATAATTTCTCACAGCTTTAACTGTATGTCTCTATAGTTTGTTAATTATCAGGTCCACACATCGAAACCAAACAAGCCAGACTATTTTAATTGCTGTGTTAGTGGCATGATGATAACCCGTAATTACAGCATAATCATACGCTTAGTTTGCTATCAGGATCGATCAGTTAGGACTAGTGTTTGCCACGTGCAGCACATTTTGATTGCGATTTTCAATTTGAGAACACCGCGAAAGTGCCATGGCCGACTGGGTCCGACTTGAGTGGTACTGCAAAAAATTACAGTTTTAAGGCAATAAGATAACACAATTCTCGAGTATACAACTTTATAACCAGATAAGTTGTTGCTTCTCAGGATGGGCGGTTTTCGATTTCAGACAATATCGAAAACACAATTGTACCGAAAGTGAGACGAAATAAATCACTAAGCTGAACATGATTGTTTTGTTTTTGGAAACTCGTGGTATTCAAATCACTAAATGTATACCCATAGGGTGATGACCTCTGCGATGGTTTGCATATAATTATTTTGCTTGTAAATTAGAATGGTCCTTGTGATTCATACGTATGGTACGGCATTCAACTCATTATTATGTGCTGTGACGTGGCGGTTTACCCTTCTTCTGGGCAATCGAGAGGCAAATCGATTCAGTACAACTTACAATATGGCAACTGTAACACTGAGAAAGAAATTTCAATTTTCAAAGTAAACCAAAAATACGCTCTTTTGCTTTCAATGACGGGTAATTTTCCAAAGGGACAGTGAAGTCAACTGAGCCAGTGTCTCAATGCACTCATTAGTTTAGGCTTGTTAATGTTTTGGTTTCAGATCTAAGTCTAATACATTTATATGCCGGGAAGGTAATTTCTATCATGCCCTGTAATTTAGAGCTCAAGTTATACCAATAAAGAGAAAAAGTCTCTTATTTGGAAATTCTGGACTCGTCTGGCATTATCAACACATCCGCTTGAAATACTGACGGAAGAAGCTCGCTTGAAACCGAAAATAGTAACTCGTAATGTTCAAATGAACTTGACTCTTTGTTACACTTCGATTTTAAGAACTAATGATGTATTTAATTATTTTTTGGCAATCAAGCATGTAGTGCTTAAACAATAATCGTGTTTTAAATAAAGGATTTTACTTTACTTTACCTAAGGATGCTAGCATTTGTCATCGTTTGCATCAAAAAGTGACTTTAGGGCGGCTTTGGTTTGTTTGAAATTGCCTTGCAGCATTAACAAACGAGGCAAGAATGGAAGGCTTCATACTGTTGGACAAAGTGATGTCTTAAGTAATCGTCACAACAACAAAAAATAGCGAATTACATTGCGTGTTAGAAAAGATAAATGATTAACTACGTATTATGTGTTGTTCATTTCACAAACTTGTTTTGACGAGAATCAATATCTCAACAAACAAAAAGAGCAAATAAGAAACAGCGAAGCTATTTCAAAGCTGAGAAGACCAGCTTAGGGTTTCGGCTTTTTAACTCGGAGAACTCAACGGTGTACGTTCACGGTTCTTTTATCTCCTTTTTTTGGATTCTTTGTTGGTTTGCATATTAAATCTAACTTTCATTTTTCTGTTCTACCGTTTAGCTTCCTGTCCCCGCTCAAACGACGTAAACGCTGAGTTAAGTCAAAGGTAAATAATTTAGTACTTATACGCAACTATTCTGTTAAAATAGTAGGTCGGCAGATCTAATAAAGGGAAAAAAGAAAAATGGCTCTTAATTAGTGCACAGAGATAAACAAACTGAATATCCATATTTCTGAAAGTCGTTTGCGCCAAATTAGCAAGGAGTATGAACACCTCTGGCAAATTTAACATACTTAGGTATTTTGGCGTTTTAAAAGAGAAGAATCATTTTCATCTATCTTGTTCAAATATATCAATGTTTGGGACGAAAATGGCGCAAAGCCAATCAGGTCTACGGTTGCTTCTTACGTCGCTTTCGTTATCGCACAGATCACTTGAGAACTACGGCAATTAAACGTTCAACCACAACTGGTGTTAAGTAATACTGGTTAATTAATCATTTGCAGATTTACTGAGTTTGCCTAAAAGCAAAACTGATGATGCGACATAATGCAATATTTCAACTAAAATATTTCAGGCTGTGTCGATGATTACATGTACTATGTCGCAATTCCTATTCCCAGGTCAGAGAATTATGATGCTGACGAACATGTTATGTTGTCTGGTGTTAATCCTGATCACCCTATGCTCTGCGAAGGACAACAACAACAGCAGCAGCAGCAAACCCATCGAAAACAAAGTTAGTTTATAGTATTTACATTTCACTTTTCTTCATCTGTGAGAGAAGCAATCAAAAACCTGTTATGCGTCAATTTATTGGAATTAACTCCAGTCAGTAAATCCATGCGATTATTTCTATGGGTTAAACTTTCACTATCACATGGCATGCCTGGTTACTATGGAAACCCTGGCCGTGATGGACGTGACGGAGCCAAAGGAGAACGGGGCAGCCCGGGAAAGACTGGGCCCCAGGGATCACCTGGTGCAAACGGAACGAAGGGAGAGAAGGGAGAGCCTGGAGCTCAGGACTCCGCCGGCCAAAAAGGACAGCGAGGGGCGAAAGGTGAGAGGGGAACTCCAGGATCACCTCAGCTTTCCTCGCACATGAACTAGAAAGAATGTACCTGGAAAAAGGAGGACGGCAAAAGCTCAGGTGTGATCCAGGCAAGTGCCAAGTTTATGCCACCTTTTACTCCAATGAAAACCCACACAACGGCAAGGTGATCTGCAGAACATTATGACCTTGCAGCAGCGATTTGTTTACCATGGTGACCACAGGAAATTAGTCAAGACCAGGTTTTCGCATCTCTTTCTTCTCAAAGTATTACTATTATTATCAGAAAATAACATTTTATTGACGAAAAGGTTACAAGTTGAGTTCTTTGAATTGCCATAGGAAAGATAAAGATCTCATCCAGGTGGGAGTTAACATTTAATGTCAAATGATTAATATTCGATGTTTATGTAATAATACCTCAATATCCATTTATCGTATTTATCCCTGTAGAACTGTGAATTCATGAAGAACTTCACAGACACTGCCCTCCATGTTTACTTTGCTGGTAAGCTCAGGGTAGGTGGATGTGACAACTGCTGCAGTCGTTGGTATTTCAAGTTCAATGGTTCCGAGGGCAGCTCTCCTGCTACCATTGAAGGTATGTACTACATGAGAACCGGCAAGAACCACAATCTTCATCGTCACCGCCATATTGAAGGTCATTGTAATAACATTCACAAGGGAAAGGTGCGAGTGGGATTCTGGGTTGGAAAGTGTATCGCTGACCACAGTACTGCTAACCCGCATACAGACTCCAAATCAATGTCCCGGATTTTCATTGAAGAGGTTCCAAAAGCTCAGCAGTAAACACGTTACACTTGATTAACTAGACCTTTAAAAGAACATAAGTATAGTATTGACAAAAAAACTACTTAAGTGTGTTTCAAAGCGTTTATATCAACAGATTTGAAACTTCGGTGTCAACTAGGAAACAAATAAATTTCCAAGAACATTGCAGAAAGACTTCTTGTTTCAGTGACTTTCCGGTATCCTGATAATTAATTTTCGGATTTCTAGCGTAGCTTAAAAAAAGAAGATGCACTAATTGCACCAGAAAACTTGGAAGTA